TGGTTGAATGAACTATGTGCGCCTACCTAATCAGACGGCTGGGCAGGAGGCTGATCTTACCCTAAGACCAGCCGACTGATTCGTAGCAGACGCCAAATAAAAAACCTATTTGTATAGATCGATTGTAGGGTACTTACAACATCCTTCAGATTGTTTTGTACTTGGAAGCTGCTGCTATCTAAAAACCTCTGCGTTTAGGGCCTACAGAAATATAGTGAATGTGGACATTTTTGTTATCCCTCTTCAAGTAAGCTTTTTTTTTTGCGGGGACCCTCTTCAAGTAAGCTAATCGGTGACAACAAATGTAAAGGATTGTGGAGATCCTTTTTTTACCCTGAAACCGTAGAACAGTAGTTCTGTTTGCTCTCATTTTTTGCAAGCCTGATGTCAAATGAGACACTCTACCATGACAGGTGACTCGGGTGAGGCGCACTTGAGAAGGTACTCAAAATGAGAAGAGTAGGCAAGAGACATGGAGGAACACTCGGGAGCAAGGCGCACACAGGTCTGACAGTGACCAATTCTAGCTCTCCCAAAGTATATAGGCTGCCATGCCCCAATCGGCAAGCGACTCACCAATTCGGTTCGATATTCGAGTCGATATGCCGTCATGTACCAGTCGGCAGGCTATACCAGGTATGTCGTCATGCCTCAGCCGACAGGTTCTATCAGGCTGATGTTATGCCTATTTGGCAAGAGGCCATCGTGCTCCAACTCAGTTTGTTGTTATACCTATTCAGCGAGCCATCATGCTTAGTGTCGAGTCATACCACAATCAGGCATACCAGGCGGTTATCTTGATGGCTCGAGAAGGACTTGGAGGACATCGTAAGAAAACTTGCACCAAAACGCCCTGAGGATGGCCTCAAAGGAACAAGTGCTCAACATGAAAGTTGTTTGTATCGTCAAGACATATAACTTTGCTGTTGTAGTCATCACGATCCGGGTTAGTATGCAACTTGCAGAGTCATGACATGACCCGAACGACTCGGCCTACCACCTGCTGGATTCCGACCTCAAGATAAAGATAGGCCCGTAGAGCCATCAAGTTGGACTTAGATGGAGAAATTTCCTCGGTTGAGTTATTGTTCTCGCTGAGATGAACACGTTTTGATGTTAGACTCAACTCCATCCAAGTTAGTATACAATTTCTACAGCCCATTCAAGAAGTGGGACAGAAGTATGGGACAGATCCGAGCCAAATCCGAGTTGGACTAGAACTAGGGTTTTTAGGACGCGAATTGATGTAAATTTCTTTTAAGGAAAGGCTAGGTGAGGCCTTTGCTTGTAAGGGAAGTCCAGCCGCATCATAAATATGTAAGAGGCGACGGCCGATTGAACAACACCAATCAAACCAATCGATCTATTATACTTTCGTGTTCATCTATCTTTATCTCCTACCCTTGTATCATGCTTCTTGTTCTTCGCTAGTCCTCCACGTCGGAGGGCTGTGGATCCACGAGGCTCTAGGGATGAGCAAATCGAGCTGGAGCAGCCCATAGTCGCAGCGAGCCTTGATGGGGTCCTTCCTGGGCGAGCAAAGCTTCGGGGCTACAAATGAAAATGCCCTCCGGATATCTTCTGTACCGTGCTTCCGGCATGGTCTCCTTCGAAAGTGAGTTGCGGTATATCAACCCCGACATTGAGGGTACATGGTAATGTGTTCTTGTGTGAATACACTTTTTGACGACTCCACTAGGGACCAAGCTTCGAACGGTCTCCAACCTGTTCTTGCTACGAGGAGAGCGTCATCGAAAGGCTGCAATATACAATGGTAACATGTATCATCAATATCATTATGTAGATGTAAATAGCCCTTACGTCGATGTCACTACATCTTTCAATAGGGCATATCATGTTGGCTAGCTTTAACGAGCAAAGGCCGACTAAGTATTTGTTGGAAATATGCCCTAGAGGCAATAATAAAAGGATTATTATTATATTTCCTTGTTCATGATAATTGTCTTTTATTCACGCTACAATTGTATTATCCGGAAATCGTAATACACGTGTGAATACTTAGACCAAATACGTCCCTAGTAAGCCTCTAGTTGACTAGCTCGTTGGTCAACAGATAGTCATGGTTTCCTGACTATGGACATTAGATGTCGTTGACAACGGGATCACATCATTAGGAGAATGATGTGATGGACAAGACCCAATCCTAAGCATAGCACAAGATCGTGTAGTTCGTTTTGCTAGAGCTTTTCCAATGTCAAGTATCTCTTCCTTAGACCATGAGATTGTGTAACTCCCGGATACCGTAGGAGTGCTTTGGGTGTACCAAATGTCACAACGTAACTTGGTGACTATAAAGGTGCACTACAGGTATCTCCAAAAGTGTCTGTTGGGTTGACACGGATCGAGACTGGGATTTGTCACTCCGTATTACGGAGAGGTATCACTGGGCCCACTCGGTAGTGCATCATCATAATGAGCTCAAAGTGACCAAGTGTTTGGTCACGGGATCATGCATTACGGTATGAGTAAAGTGACTTGCCGGCAACGAGATTGAACGAGGTATTAGGATACCAACGATCGAATCTCGGGCAAGTAACATACCGTCTGACAAAGGGAATAGTATATGGGGTTGCTTGAATCCTCGACATCGTGGTTCATCCGATGAGATCATCGAGGAGTATGTGGGAGCCAACATGGGTATCCAGATCCCGCTGTTGGTTATTGACCGGAGAGCCGTCTCGGTCATGTCTACATGTCTCCCGAACTCGTAGGGTCTACACACTTAAGGTTCGGTGACGCTAGGGTTGTATGAATATGAGTATGCAACAAACCGAATGTTGTTCGGAGTCCCGGATAAGATCCCGGACGTCACGAGGAGTTCCGGAATGGTCCGGAGGTAAAGAATTATATATAGGAAGTGCTGTTTCGGCCATCGGGAAAGTTTCGGGGTCACCCGGTATTGTACCGGGACCACCGGAAGGGTCCCGAGGGTCCACCGGGTGGGGCCAGCTATCCCGGAGGGCCCCGTGGGCTGAAGTGGGAGGGGAACCAGCCCCTAGTGGGCTGGTGCGCCCCCCCTTGGCCCCCACTGTGCCTAGGGTTGGAAACCCTAGGTGGGAGGGGGGGGGGGCGCACCACTTGCCTTGGGGAGCACTCCACCCCCCGGCCGCCGCCCCCTTGGGAGATTGCATCTCCCAGGGCCGGCGCCCCCCCTGGGGGCCTATATAAAGGAGGGCAGGGGGGAGGGCAGCCGCACCCTGTGTATTGGCGCCTCCCTCCCCCTGCTACACCTCGTCCTCCTCCCGAAGCTGCTTGGCGAAGCCCGGTCGGAGTTCTGCTGCATCCACCACCACGCCGTTGTGCTGCTGGATCATCATCAACCTCTCCTTCCCCCTTGCTGGATCAAGAAGGAGTAGACGTCATCCGCTCCGTACGTGTGTTGAACGCGGAGGTGCTGTCCGTTCGGCACTTGGTCATCGGTGATTTGAATCACGGCGAGTACGACTCCATCATCACCGTTCTCTTGAACGCTTCCGCATGCGATCTACAAGTGGTATGTAGATGCAATCTCTCTCCCATGACTCGTTTCTTAGATGAACTCATATATGGATCTTGGTGAAACCGTAGGAAAATTTTTAATTTTCTGCAACGTTTCCCCAACAGTGGCATCATGAGCTAGGTCTATGCGTAGTTCTCTATTGCACGAGTAGAACACAATTTTGTTGTGGGCGTAGATCTTGTCAACTTGCTTGCCGCTACTA